CGGCCTCCATCTTTGTATTGGAGGGTTTATTGTTGTCACCACAGAGGAGAATTGTCACACGCGTGTCACTCTGCCGCTCACAACATGAACAGTTTGGGGAACTTTAGTGCAAAGTAACAACTTCCTCCCCACTGCGCACCTCGTATTCCGTATACTAGATATATATATGGGGGCGGGGCTTCAGGCCAGGCTTGGCTTTGTTTACATGAGGACGTCCTCATGTAATGTGCTGTGTTGTCTTCCAGACGGGAGGACTCGGACACATGAACATTCCGCTGCTGTCTGACCTGACAAAGCAGATATCCCGTGACTACGGAGTCCTACTGGAGACCCCGGGCATCGCTCTGAGGTAGGCCGCACGTCCCGTCTACTCCACAGGTCTCCTCCGTCCCAAGTGTGTGGCACGTGCTTCCCTTCACCTCCACCCTTCCCTCGCCTCCTCTCACCCTTCCCTCGCCTCCTCTCCCCCTTCCCTCACCTCCTCTCACCCTTCCTTCCCCTCCTCTCCACCCTTCCCTCCACCCTTCCTTCACCTCCTCTCCCCCCTTCCTTCACCTCCTCTCCACCCTTCCTTCGCCTCCTCTCCACCCTTCCTTCGCCTCCTCTCCACCCTTCCTTCGCCTCCTCTCCACCCTTCCTTCGCCTCCTCTCCACCCTTCCTTCGCCTCCTCTCCACCCTTCCTTCGCCTCCTCTCCACCCTTCCTTCGCCTCCTCTCCACCCTTCCTTCGCCTCCTCTCCACCCTTCCTTCGCCTCCTCTCCACCCTTCCTTCGCCTCCTCTCCACCCTTCCTTCGCCTCCTCTCCACCCTTCCTTCGCCTCCTCTCCACCCTTCCTTCGCCTCCTCTCCACCCTTCCTTCGCCTCCTCTCCACCCTTCCTTCGCCTCCTCTCCACCCTTCCTTCGCCTCCTCTCCACCCTTCCTTCGCCTCCTCTCCACCCTTCCTTCGCCTCCTCTCCACCCTTCCTTCGCCTCCTCTCCACCCTTCCTTCGCCTCCTCTCCACCCTTCCTTCGCCTCCTCTCCACCCTTCCTTCGCCTCCTCTCCACCCTTCCTTCGCCTCCTCTCCACCCTTCCTTCGCCTCCTCTCCACCCTTCCTTCGCCTCCTCTCCACCCTTCCTTCGCCTCCTCTCCACCCTTCCTTCGCCTCCTCTCCACCCTTCCTTCGCCTCCTCTCCACCCTTCCTTCGCCTCCTCTCCACCCTTCCTTCGCCTCCTCTCCACCCTTCCTTCGCCTCCTCTCCACCCTTCCTTCGCCTCCTCTCCACCCTTCCTTCGCCTCCTCTCCACCCTTCCTTCGCCTCCTCTCCACCCTTCCTTCGCCTCCTCTCCACCCTTCCTTCGCCTCCTCTCCACCCTTCCTTCGCCTCCTCTCCACCCTTCCTTCGCCTCCTCTCCACCCTTCCTTCGCCTCCTCTCCACCCTTCCTTCGCCTCCTCTCCACCCTTCCTTCGCCTCCTCTCCACCCTTCCTTCGCCTCCTCTCCACCCTTCCTTCGCCTCCTCTCCACCCTTCCTTCGCCTCCTCTCCACCCTTCCTTCGCCTCCTCTCCACCCTTCCTTCGCCTCCTCTCCACCCTTCCTTCGCCTCCTCTCCACCCTTCCTTCGCCTCCTCTCCACCCTTCCTTCGCCTCCTCTCCACCCTTCCTTCGCCTCCTCTCCACCCTTCCTTCGCCTCCTCTCCACCCTTCCTTCGCCTCCTCTCCACCCTTCCTTCGCCTCCTCTCCACCCTTCCTTCGCCTCCTCTCCACCCTTCCTTCGCCTCCTCTCCACCCTTCCTTCGCCTCCTCTCCACCCTTCCTTCGCCTCCTCTCCACCCTTCCTTCGCCTCCTCTCCACCCTTCCTTCGCCTCCTCTCCACCCTTCCTTCGCCTCCTCTCCACCCTTCCTTCGCCTCCTCTCCACCCTTCCTTCGCCTCCTCTCCACCCTTCCTTCGCCTCCTCTCCACCCTTCCTTCGCCTCCTCTCCACCCTTCCTTCGCCTCCTCTCCACCCTTCCTTCGCCTCCTCTCCACCCTTCCTTCGCCTCCTCTCCACCCTTCCTTCGCCTCCTCTCCACCCTTCCTTCGCCTCCTCTCCACCCTTCCTTCGCCTCCTCTCCACCCTTCCTTCGCCTCCTCTCCACCCTTCCTTCGCCTCCTCTCCACCCTTCCTTCGCCTCCTCTCCACCCTTCCTTCGCCTCCTCTCCACCCTTCCTTCGCCTCCTCTCCACCCTTCCTTCGCCTCCTCTCCACCCTTCCTTCGCCTCCTCTCCACCCTTCCTTCGCCTCCTCTCCACCCTTCCTTCGCCTCCTCTCCACCCTTCCTTCGCCTCCTCTCCACCCTTCCCTCGCCTCCTCTCACCCTTCCCTCACCTCCTCTCACCCTTCCTTCCCCTCCTCTCCACCCTTCCCTCCACCCTTCCTTCACCTCCCCTCCACCCTTCCTTCACCTCCACCCTTCCTTCACCTCCCCTCTACCCTTCCTTCACCTCCTCTCCACCCTTCCTTCACCTCCTCTCCACCCTTCC